TGAGCTCTCCTCCCGTCGGAGCGCAAATTCCGAGAGCACTACCACTACTCCACGGCGACTTTGAAAGCCGGAGGCTAGTGTTAATGCTTTACTTCCAGCCAACTTTGACTGCTCACAACTTCCTTGGCAGGTTCATTTTGCAGTTTTAGTTTCCATATTTGTAATCAGCGTTTGAAGCTCTATCGATATATCTAGGTCTTCCATAGGATGTTGAATACCTTCCCCGGTTAGCGTCTTTATCTGTCAAAGGGAAACCTACCCCTAATTAACCCAAGCCGGAGCAATGGAGTCCGTGTCTGGTCTGGGATACATTCGGTTCCTGAGCCTTGCAGTAGCAGCAGCGCTAAATCATCTAGACGCATATGGATTTAGTGCGCCTAATTTTCCGTGTGCTTCATTAGTGGCAGATGTGTTCACGGAACAGGAGTTTTTTGACCGGTGTCCTGGCATGTGAAGCGTGAGCAGTAATTTGCTCTTCGTGTACGGAGAATCCATCAATGGAAGATGAGGCTCAAATAGCCAAGGCTCAAATTGCCAACTAACAGCCGTACGCCTTCAAAGTCCTATTGACGCTCATTTATTTTTCACGAGAAGGTGACCATCCGAAAATGGATTGCGAATTTCCATCAGGCTAGGGAGGTGTGTAGGTGGCGGTGCCGGGGGCGATCTGACAAAAAACACATGAATGCATTTGGACGATGGCGTCAGCATGTCGGTGACGCAGTGCAATATGCATATGCACGATTGAAAAATGGATCCTATCAGTGTTTCTTCTCCATCGTCGCTGTGACAGTGTTTTTCGACGATTCCAAGTAAGCTCAGAATCCTTGAGAGGATTTGGTGTCATTAGGGCTGTTCCTAGTATGGTTGATAGAAGGAACAAGGCGTCCCGAAATATTGGGCTGGGCCTATTGATGAAAACTAGTCCTCAAATTCATTCTTACAGAAAATATGGAGATGAATTTCCAATGAGTCGGCCTCATTAAAAATGATGCGTGCATTTTAAGTTATGGGAAGTCGGCCGAAAGGGCAAATTCTAAGGGTGTGCAGTGTGGAGTCCAGTATTCCGGGAGTTTCTACCCCATTCCGCTGCGGCTCTCTGAACGGGGCTTTATGTGATGGATTGTACATGATTACGGCCGCACACGCTGATTCTGCCATCGTTGCTCTGGGCTTCTCTTTCGAACGGAATGACAGCCGATTTTCCTTGGAATTGCGAAAAGGTGCTTTTTGTGAGGCAATATGGCTGTAGTCACTAAGCGAACGACCTGCGTTGAATCCGAAACGATGAGCGACGTGTGTTTTCAGCGATTCATCATGTCTTGGATTATCCAAGAAATCGGCCGTCGGACACGGATGTGAGCGGCGAGCCGGAGGCAAAATAGAGCCACGAAGAGCGCATGTCGGCATCGATTCAGCGACCGTGACGGCATTGGCAGGGCGATGAATGCATCGCTAGAACAATGACACGCCAAAATGCACGCATGCGCTTGATGGCGCCAAGCGCGATTGGCGCCGAGCTGGCCGTGGACTTTGAGTTCATCTTGAAAATTTCGAATAAAGGCCGAAGCGTTCACGAGAGCGAAGCGAGTGAGTCGCAGCGAACGATTTCTCGCACCATTGCCACTAAACGAGGCTAACGCCTCATAATTTATGGCTCTCGTCGCCTCCAATCTCGCACAATATCACTGCGGCGAATTTCCATTAGAAAAAAAAGCCGTGAATACTGAATGTATCCTTGGAAATCGCTCGGGAAACGTTTCTCTGGAAAGCATCCCAAACCAGTGAGTGAGATAGTGTACTTCATTTGACACAATACGTATCTTTGAGAGTAGTATTTCGAGGAAACTTGAGAATTCCTAGTCTATAGGTACCATCCACGTGTCTTTTGGACTGTCATCCTCTTTTTGCTGATGGTAGACCCCAAAAGTTGGTCGTACACCCAGTGCCGTCATTGGTCCATCAAGGGGTTCAGAGGGTTCTTAAAATTATGGACGTAAGGCTTCACTTCTTTTGTGTTTTTGACACTTGCTATCTATAGAATCTGGCTAAAAAGAACGTGACGATTGCCTTGACAGGTTTCCCGACCAGTTTTTCGCAGGGATGATGGAGAGAAGTACTACATCAGCTTAGATTCATCTTGCGCTCAGTTTGAAGTGTTCTGTCCCACCTATATGGTAGGATATGGGTTACGGTAAAGCAAGAGTCTATTCAGGCATCTAGCTAATGATATTTTCGGAGATTTTGATGGTAGTACTTTTGGTAGTACTTTGGATTTCCATTAGTTAAAAATTTCTTGAAACATCCTTTCAATCTTTCGCGCCCTCATATCGACATTTTTGAACCCCTTTTCATCCTAAGAACGCTTTGGATGTACAGCAGTAATGGAGAAGTGTATCTTCGCAAATCGTCATTGATTCTTTATCATTTTGACATTGAGAGCTCGGCTGATTTAGGGAAACCTAACGCACATCAGTGCCTTCAGCTCGAGTCGGTTTTCCTTTGATTTGGCTATTTCCGATTCTGCCTAGCACTGCTCATTTTGATATGG